TTAACAACTGACATTTTTCTGGATGGAAAGACATGCTCCAATTTGATTCCCATTTCTGTAATTCATCTAATTCTCTTTGTAAAATATCTGTGTCTTGTGTTGTTTTTATTGTTCTATATATTATGCAATCGTCTGCAAATAATCTGACTTTTGTTCCTGAAGTAATGCAATTTGGTAAATCATTTATGTAAATTTAAAATAGTAGTGGACCCAAGATTGTTCCTTGAGGTACACCTGAGTTTACTGTTATCGGTGTTGATTTAGAGCCATTTATTATTACAGTTTGTTCTCTCCCTATCAGAAAATGTTTAATCCACTGATGCAGTGGACCATTAATGCCAAAATATTTTAATTTTTTAAGCAAACTATGGTGGTGAACTTTGTCAAAAGCCTTAGAAAAATCTAGTAAGATAGCATCTATTTGTTCACTATTATCTAAACCTAATTGTTGCAGTCGCTTCTGTTACCTTTGTTCTTATACAGTGTAATGATTTTAGCATCCCGCAGTGGTACAGCACCTTCTTGCCAACATTTGCAAAGCAGTTCGTGTAAAGGTTGGATTAGAGTAGTTTTGCATTGTTTTAGAAGATCTGGGGGGATACCATCGCATCCGGATGCTTTGCGGGCAGCAATGTTGTCTATGGCTTTGTTGAGCTCTGAGAGGGTGGGTGTTTCATTTAGCTCGTTCATTGTGGGTAATTGTGTGATGGCCTTAAGGGCTGAGTCAGAGACTGAGCTTGTTGTGGCGTAGAGCTCAGAGTACTGTTCAACCCATCTGTGCATTTGTTGGCACTTGTCAGTGATAATTTACCCAGTGGTTGATTTAAGAGGTGCTGTCTTGTTTTGGGAGGGTTCGAGAGCCTTTTTGATTCCTTCGTACATCCCTCTTATGTTGCCCACTTGGGCTGCGAGCTGAATATTCTCACTGAGCTCTACCCAGTATTCATTGGCACAGATCCTTGCTGTCCTCTGTGCATTGACTCTAGCTTCTTTCAGACTTAACAGGTTGTGTTGGGTAGGTTTTGCCTTGTAAGTAGTGAGTGCAACTCTCTTTGCTCTGATGATAGGTGCTAAAATAGCTGCTTTGGAGTCGAACCAATCATTTTCTTTGTAATTTTTCTTCCAAAGATTTCCAGGGAAGTCTTTTAGGGAGAAGATTGGTCTTACAACATACCAAGGAGTGATCTGTGTCGCAGTCTGCACTGTGATAGGACCTGGTAAGCTTGACAAATTTTAAGCACTTTTGTCTTACCATGATTAGGTCTAGTTGGTGCCAGTGTTTGGAGCGAGGATGCCGCCAAGATACTCAGTGCTGTGGTCTAGTCTTGAAATAGGTATTAGTGACACAGAGGGAGTGTAGTGAGCAAACATCGAGGAGCTTTTTTCCATTTTCTTTTACTTTTCCGACACCAAAACGCCCAATACAGCTGTCCCATGCAGAGTTGTCAGATCCAACGCGTGCATTGAGGTCGCCGAGGTTGATAACCTGTTCCGTAGTTGGGATCTCGCTAAGAGCAGACGAAAGGTTTTCATAAAACATATCTTTGACCTCTGGTGTGGAACTCAGAGTAGAAGCGTAGGCACATATCAGTCGCATGTCCAATAGATGTGTTAAGGCGTAGTGATAGGAGTCTTTCTGAACCGTTGCACTTCAGCTCTACTGTGTTCAGCAGTGTGTTCTTAACTGCGAAACCAACGCCATGTTCCCTTACTTCGCTTTCGGCTTTGCCTTGCCAGAAGAAGGAGCAATCTTTTTCTTTGATTGAACCAGAGTCAGCTAAACGAGTTTCCTGAAGGGCGGCAATGTCTACTTTGAGCCTTGACAGTTCATCGTTTATTATTGCAGATTTTCTGACATCTTCTATGTCTGGTTTTCATTAAGTCCATTTTGTAGAGTACGCACATTCCATGTGCCCAGTTTAAGAGTGCAGCGCCTCTTTTTTTTCTTCATGTCGACTTGTACATTGGCTTTGTGCCTGCTTTTCAGATTTGTTCTTATTCTCGTGTACCCAAACGAGGAAGACAGGCATGACGGGACAGCACCTTATTGGCTGGGGGCTGCCCAGCTTGAGGCGGGCGGTAGCTGTCCATTGGAATCCTAGGATCCCTCCCACTGACGAAAGTGGCCCCTGGCGCACTGCTCTACGTCAATTGAGCATTTGAGCTTATAACCGGTGACTGCCACTTCCAGTGTTTGGTCGACGCCAAAGGCAAGCTGGATTGTCCTCTCCAGTTTTTGGGGTTAGGGCTTTGAATAGGTCAGATGAAAGCATGGGCATTGTTTATGGTCGGAACGTTGTCGCCCACACAGCAGTTCCCCCCTCTCTGCGCAGCTGATGTGACCAAAGGAACGGAATATCCAATACAGTTTGGGATCAGTAGCGCCACAGGATCTGCCAGGCTGTAGCACGGTGTGCCACAGTCTGCCTAAGGGTCACCAGCTCCTGATTTTTCCTCAGGGTTGTCTTCCGAAGATTTTCCCGTGTTTGGGTATAGCCACAGAGCAGCGGATTCAGAGTTTTACTTCTCCTAGATGGGTAGCCAACCAAGGCTAACGAGCCCCTCCTGCCCGAAGCTTACTGGTTTAGGTGCCAGTTGCTCGCTTTGCCCCTTCTCCTGTCTGTGGTAACGGTTCCGCCAGGCTCAGCAACTGAGCCACACGTGAAGGCCAGGAGTTGGACTGGTTGTCAGAGGCTATTTGAGACGCATGCCATTGGAAGCACTTTATAAGTAATGATGGGCTTAAGACCATTACCACTTCCGGCGTTAACAACTTTGCGTATATAGTATACTAGACTGAAAACCGGAAATAAATTCTTATCCGCAACTGATCGATTCATAGACCTATATATAGATAGATTATTATGTGCGTAAACTCTTTTTTAAGCGCTAAGGGGAGTCAAAGTTTTCAAAGTTTAGAAATAATGCAAAATCATTTCTCGGATATTCACGCAAATATAAGAAACAAAGCCATTTCCTGTTTGTTTCCATTGCGAAAATGTTTCAAAAATCCTTGATCGAAATAATTCATGTTGATTTAAATCATCTTATGTACATTTAAATATATTTATTACCTAGATATAGATCTTTCTAGATTATGTACCTGAAAATCTGTCATATCGTGATCAGTAGGCGGCTGCAGGTTTATAGATCTATTCCATGACAAAAACCCTGGCTAGATTAAGATCTACTGGTCTAGACATCTAGATATAACTAGAATTAATTAAACTAGAAAACTGAATTAGAGAAGTAGCTTTCTGGATCTAGAACTAGAATCTATATTATTAATATTAGATCTAGTTGCGTCGAAGGCTTAATTTTTGGTTGTTGTTTTTAATAAATGCACATAAAATACATTGTATTTGGCAATAAAAATACTTAGTTGGTAGTCAAGTAATTCTAATAGCTAATTAAAGAATGACTCCATCAGTATTTGTTTTAGATCTGTCAGATTCATAAGACTTATTATTTATACTTATTTTATATCATTCGTCCAAGAAAATCTAGCTCTAGAAATATTTCATTTTAGATTAGGCGATAGTTTGTTTTGTTTTTTTTTATATTTTTTTTTTTTTTTTTTTTTGTTGGTCAGTTTATTTCGGCTACACTATTACCGAGATGAACTTTTTCTTTGTCTCCCACAAATAATAAAAAAAAAAAACGTTTAGCAATGCGTAGCTTGGAGAGTCAAAACTGTATTAGGTCTTCTATTTGGCAGAATTGAAGTCATTGGTTAATATGCATGACTAAATGCATGACGCGTAGGACGTAATCATCTTCTTTTTTGAAGTAACGTCTGTATTATATAAGATAAGATAAGTTATATAGATCTAAAAGCATTAGGAAAACCTACTTTAGAAAGACATCCACACACCCCTACCCAAAAAATAAATAGATTTGTATTCGACAGATTTTAACAACTTAGTTTGTGTTCTGTGTAGCAAAATGTCACGCCTGCAGAGGTGTGGCTTAAAGTCCAGCCCATAATTAAGATTAGATACCAAGTAAACAAACTCAGTTCCCTCGCGTGACCGAGAGTACCTACATCCATCGTATTTGACTTGTGGCCACCTGTCTATCAATAAACTCAATGTGATGGACTAAACAAATAAAAAAGAGTGGGAGTGTTCATCTCTACCGTTGTTATCTGTGTAGAGGTATGGCTTAAAGTCCAGTCCCCCCCCCCCTTTTCAAAATTTACTACCAAGTAAACAAACTCAGTTTCCTCGTAAGGTGTGACCTCTAGAGAGTGTCAATATGCTGACATTAAATGTCCATCGTACTTGACTTGTGGTGACCTGAACTCAATTTGATGGACTAAACAAGTAAAAAGGGTCGGAGCTGTTTTACCTACCTCTACCTACCTCTGGAGATACACCCGCACGGCTAGACAGACGTCTGGTCAACGTGACGTTGTCAAGGAATATATCATGTTAACTAACCCACTCAACGGTCATTACAAAATGAAAAAAATGTGCCAGCCATAGCTGCTCTGAATGTAAAGCGCATTAATGATGTAAAGTTTCATTTCTATTTATATTAACACGCCTTGTCTTCATAATAAAAGACGTTTGGTGCATATTCATATAGGCTCTATTTTAAGCACATAATTATATATTGTAATATAAAAATTTTACATTCTATAACAGACGCTAATGGAACAAGTTCACTTTATGCATTTTAAAATGAAAATCAAAACATTTTGACAAATCTTGATAAAGCTTTGCTCAACTATTCCTTGGATACTAACGGTAAATTTTACATGTGTTAAGTCGCCCTTCCACAAGCTGAAGAACCTAATTTAAAAGTTGGATTTAGGTCAGTTCGACATGCTTTGTAGTGCCTCCATTCATGATTTTGTGCGTATGCCCAGCGCAGATGTACAAATCAAATGAGCACGTCTCGCGATCTTTTGATTCGCCTACGCAGATCTAATTCTAAGATATATTCTTTGCAAAGATACTGTCTGGGGTTTTGGAACAAATCCTTAATTCTACGGTTTTATTAAGGTTTATTCTATTTCATACACTTTTAAATCTACATCTACAACTATATAGGGCCTCTCAGGTCTTTAGTTTGGATTCTATTGACCTCTCAGTTTACTATAAGATGTCCGTCAAAGTGACTTCAAGTCGTACTCATTGACGACCATGGCACAAACAGCCCAAGCATCCTTCATCTCATTGTCTTGTAACCTTGTACTTTCACGCATTAAGTTAAACTGATACGATTTTCTTTTCTAATGCACTAGATGCCCGCTGCTCCAAGTATATAACAGAGGTTCCTTCAAAAGAGAAGATAAATACTTCCATTCATAAGCCTAGTGTCTTGGGGGCGCGGTGGCTGAGTAGTTAAGCGCTTGGCTTGGTCCTGGGTTCGAATCTCGGTGAAGATTTTATATTTCGTAATTTTTAGGGCGGCCCTGAGTCAAAACTTTAATTGGGTACCTGACTTAAGTTGGTGAAAGTAAAAGAGGTAGTTGGTCGTTGTGCTGGCCACATGACGCCCTGCTCATTAACCGTTGACCAAAGAAACAGATGACTTTTGCGCCATATTTTGTACTTTTGGTACTTATGTCTCAGGGATTATCTACGAGCTCTCCGTCTGGGGAGCTACTTCTTGCTAGCAGGTGATCTGCCCGTCCCGTTGGGACTTACATGGAAGAAACAAGGCAAATGACTTTTAGTTTCCAAAAGATAGAAAATAAAATGTGAGAGGTTTCCTATTGAAGAAGGACCAAAAATAGGGTCAGGGCACATTAAGTCAATGAGGGAAGTTTGGGTATCAGGCATATATATATATATACATGGCATTCACGTTTTTAAATTAAATTAAATTATAGCTTTAATAAAGAGCTGCTTTCATGCTCAGAGCGCTATGGTCCAAAGTCATTTGTGAACCAGTGTGTGTATGGGGGGAGGGGAATCTGGGAGAAGTTTTTTCCGTGCTGCCTTTAGGCTCTCAGTAAACACAACTCTGCTGGAGTCGGGTGTCGAACCTCGAGCCCCCTTCTTAGGTGGCCAAGCCAAGTTCAAGCTTACTTGGCCTCTCGACCACGCTACTGATTGACTCTAAACGCTGAAAAGCAATTAGTTCTAGCTTGAACCTTTATTTAAGCTTTATACTCTACTTCGGCCCCAAATTTTTCATTTAATGAAACTGTGTTATCGAATGTCAGAGTTTTCTAATGAATGTGACTTTCATTTTTGACTTTGTATGTTCTGTTGAAAGCCGTTGTGTAAAGTTGTAGGGCACCCATCTGAAGGGGGGAATGATACATGCCAAGGGCAATAAGTTTTGGCAATCTTGAAAGAAGACGGTGTAAAACAGCCGCAAGCTCGTAAGCTTTTCACTGATGTAGTAACTGGCTTCATTGAAAGACAACTGGAAAACATTTACTAAGACCACGCCATCCTCCTCTTCCCAGCACCTGTAACATCAATAATATTATTATTTTCTTGATGTACTTTGGGTATTTAACATGTGATCTTGTGCTTGAGACTGTAGAGCTTGAGTCATAATTAAGTAGCACAAGTATTAGAATGCACTGAGCAACGCACATATTATAGCTGACAATAAATTTATAGATTGAAATAAATAAGTTGACAGATGATCTAGCCATAAACTAGAAGAAATGCGTAATACACAATTAAACGATAATTTCAAGAATAAATTACATCTCCATATTCTGACTATGCAGTACTCAATACGAATGCCTACATTCGAAAATATATACGACCTTCCTCTCTGAGAACAAGATTGTAACTCTCCAAATATCACGCTATCGGTCTCTCTCTCAGAGATTTTTCCTCGTGCAAAAGGCACGTTTTATGGTGAGTAAAATTCATAACATGTCACAATGAGTCTCAAACGATGTCGTGACCTCCCCTCCAAAAAAAAAACAAAAAAAAACAAAAACAACATAATCCCAATAATAAGGCATATTTCTTCTTCTAGCCAGCTTTTGCAGCTGAGCTATGAACTCATTTGCAGACTGCCAAGGAAAAATAGTATGCTGTTTTCTTCAGTTCAGCACTGCCGTACAAGGTGCTGGTTATGTTCGGCTGTAGTGGAAGTAGGGTCTGCCTAAGGTGGATTAGGAAGGGATATTCAAAAATGATGTGGTTTACGGTTTCATAAGGGTGGTCGCAGTGTCTACAAAGGGGGAGTTGAGTGGGATTTATCTTATTAGATGGTAATTTAACAGAGGTTTGTGTCCTTTTCTTAGTTGGAAGATTGTAGATTGTTCTTTGCGGGGGAGGAAGTTAATACTGTTCAGTTTGTTAGGCATGTTAATTTCTTTGTACATGGCTCTGCCTGTGTTTCCTGTTGCCCATTGGTTGAGCCACTCCTCTTTGTGGTTGTTGATTAACATTGACCTTAGGGTGTGGTAGTTAACATGTCTATCTGGTTGTTCCATAGATAATCCTACCTTTGAAAGCTTATCTGCCCTTTCTTTTCCCATGACGCCAATGTTTCCAGGGATCCACTGTAATGTGATGTTGATGCTTAATTTTGTCATCATCTGGTGTATTATCTCTATTAGTGTTGTCAACTCTCTTGGGCTTTTTAAGGTGCTGCTGTTAAGTGCTTGAAGAGTCGATTGGGAGTCTGTAAAGACAACAATATATGATGGTGACTGTATCCCTTCATAAAATGTGTTTTCGACTGTCTGCAAAGCTATGGAAATTGCCTCAATTTCGGCTTGGAAGTTTGAGCAGTAGTCGCCACAGGGTGCACTTATTTCAAAGTGATTATTTTTGGGGGAGACCAGGAAGGCACCAAGTCTAGTATTGATAGTGGCTTTGAAGGCTGATCGGTCGGTGTATATATGGATGGCTGTTTTTGAATAGCTTTCAATTGTTTCGAGCGTGCCTACTTTACATGCAATCATGTTTAAAGTTCTTACTTTGCCTAGATGATTGTGCTTTTGACAGTTCATAATTTCTCATTTGCATAATAATAATAATAATTTGATTTATAAAGTGCTGTTAACAAACAAAATGTAGGCTCAAAAAAGATAAAATATTATCCGGAGTACCGGTACATCTAGACCTCAATTTTTTCTAAACTGACTATGAATTACAATGTGAACCTTCACACGCAAAACGTAATAAAACAGAATAGGGTTCAATGAAAATAACTGAAACTTGTGGCCTGGTAATCGTAATTACGGCATTTGAAGCGATTACTAAATAAATCAATGTTTCATATTTGCTTGAATATGTATGAATATTTTCACCATAGAATTTTTTCTTTCTCCCTTTTATTATCGTTTGTAGTTTATTGCTCATTTAGTCTATTAGAACATTGGACGCAAAGCTTATTAAGTCACGTGGAACAAAAGTCTGAAGGTTAAAGAGTAGAGTAGCTGCTTAGCACCTACCAAGTTAGGATAAATCAGGCAGTGATATTGTGTTTTAGTCTCCTAATTAAACAGATAGTTTTCATCAGTGCAAGTTTAAATTCAAACATTCTCTTCCACACTCTAGGGACAAGTTCTAATTAGTTGTAATTAAAACTTGTAACCAATGAAATAAATCAAACTGAGCACTATCTCTAAGGACCCGCGGGGTAGAAGGTACAAACATAAAGAAAACATTTCAAAGGAAATTTCGCAAGTAAAAACAACCGGAAACCAAATCTATCAACGCTTTTTCCAAGGCGCTCATGGGAAAAGTAGATGTCACATGTCATCCTCTACACTAATTTGTCCCCATGGGAACACCACCAACAACAATATGGCGGAGCTGAGACTGAGACAAAAAGATGGATATTGATATAAAATGTGTACTAGTGACGTAGATCTCTAGGGGGTAGTACAAATCTGAAGAACGCTATCTAGAAAACTTTTCAACTTAGATCTAAAAAAAAATTGAAAGTCTTTTTTTTTAAAATTTCATATCAGCTTCAAAGTATGCGATTTGATTTCAAGGTACTTCAATTTGATTACAAGTTATTTCAATCTGATTACAAGGTACTTCAATCTGATTACAAGGTACTTCAATCTGATTACAAGGTTCTGATAACAACGTACTTCAATCTGATTACAAGTTATTTCAATTTGATTACAAGGTATTTCAATCTGATTACAAGGTACTGATAACAATGTACTTCAATCTGATTACAAGGTACTTCAATCTGACTACAAGGTACTTCAATCTGATTACAAGGTTCTGATAACAACGTACTTCAATCTGATTACTAGTTATTTCAATTTGATTACAAGGTACTTCAATCTGATTACAAGGTACTGATAACAACGTACTTCAATCTGATTACAAGGTACTGATAACAATGTACTTCAATCTGATTACAAGGTACTTCAATCTGACTACAAGGTACTTCAATCTGATTACAAGGTTCTGATAACAACGTACTTCAATCTGATTACAAGTTATTTCAACTTGATTACAAGGTACTTCAATCTGATTACAAGGTACTCATAACAAAGTACTTCAATCTGATTACAAGGTACTTCAATCTGATTACAAGTTATTTCAATTTGATTACAAGGTACTTCAATCTGATTACAATGTACTGATAACAACGTACTTCAATCTGATTACAAGGTACTTCAATATGATTACAAATTATTTCAATTTGATTACATGGTACTTCAATCTGATTACAAGGTACTTCAATCTAATTACAAGGTAATTCAATCTGATTACAAGATACTTCAACCTGATTACAAGGTACTGATAACAAGGTACTTCAATCTGATTACAAGGTACTTCAATCTGATTACAAGGTACTTCAATCTGTTAACAACGTACTTCAATCTGATTACAAGGTACTTCAATCAGATAAAAACGTACTTCAATCTGATTACAAGATACTTCAATCTGAATAAAAATGTATTGTCTATGTATTTCTGAATAAACTAACATGTACAAAACAAAGCATTATGTAGGTCTATTTCTATCAATGGACACACACAAAATGATTGTCTCTGTCATATGAATTGAAATGGTTGAGCTATATCAGCATAAGTACTGGTCAACTCCCTGTGCGTTCAGTGTTCAATACTGACTGCATGTTGAGTTAACTTTTGGTGTTGTCGATAGTATTCAAACTCTGAGTTAGCTCAATAAGCAGAACACAAAGTGGTAACAAACATGAGTTGATCAAGTCAGCTATAGATTACATACATTTTACCAAGTGAGAAAAGGGATCTGTCCTCTGTTTTCTGTCGTCACTGTCACTAAGAGACTATTTCTTACTGCTCCAATAAAACTGCAGACTACGAGGCTCCAATAGAAC